AAAAGTCTAATCTGTTAAAATGATAAATGGTTTATCAAAGCAAAGTGTCAAAGCTGTAAATATGATTTATGTGTCAAACATATACTTATAATGTATATGTGGGGGAAGCAGTGATGTTAAGAAATGTCTTATAATAAATTGTCAGAGTCAATCTGAGCATATATACTTATTGATTTAATATTTTACATGTATTTATTCTGATGACGAGTAGAAGAAAGGATTTAGAATAAGAACCCAGTTAAATCCTAATAAAAGAGTACTATGAAAATTAGCCATCACTCTGCTACACCCACCAACCATGCCCACCATCCAATCAGAGCAAGTATGCAAATAAACCCAACCAAGATGGCTACGGCCAGAGAGCAGGAGGGAGGCTTGGGTTTCCCAGGCAATGGAGGAAGCCAAGCTTTCCACCTGCCCTAGCCAGCCTAGACCTCCACTCAAGGCTACAAAGTTTTAATTGTAGAAGGTAAACAAACCCCAACAGAAATGGCTGCCGGCCATGGCTCCGCTCCAAGCTACAAAGTTTCAATTGTAGAAGGTAAATAAATTCCAGATACAGGGCCTCCACTTGGGTCGCCAGGGGGCATGGCTGACTTGCAAACCACCACAGGTTCCTCGCCCAAGCCACCCCAAGACCCAAGGGAACCCCCACCCTGACCTGGGACACCCTTCAGAGCAATCCAGCTGGCCCCCACTTGTGCACCAGGCCTCTATCCTATCTAATAAAAGAGTAATATGCAGATTGACCATCACTCCAACACACAAAATCAAGATAGATGCCCCCTTGCAGAAACCAGTTTGGCTCAGTGGATAGAGCATTGGTCTGTGGACTGAGGGGTCCCAGATTCGATTCCAGTCAAGGGCATGTACATTGGTTGCGGGCACATCCCCAGTGGAGGATGTGCCGGAGGCAGCTGGTCAATGTTTCTCTCTCATCGATGTTTCTAGCTCTCTATCCCTCTCCTTTCCTCTCTGTAAACAATCAATAAAATATATATTTTTAAAAAAAAGAAAAGAATTTAAATAATATATTTAAAAAAAAAAAAAAAAAGATAGCTGCCCCCATGTGGTCAAAGATCCTGCCCCCGTGTGGACACAAGATGCCCACCATAAGATGGCCAGCAGGGGTGGGCAGTTTGGAGGCACCAGACCTGCAAGGGAGGGCAGTTGAAGGTGATCACCCCTGCAGGGGAAGGCAGTTAGGGGTGACCAGGCCAGCAGAGAAGGGAAGTTGGTGGCAAACAGGCTGGCAAGGGAGCAATTAGACATCAATCAGGCTGGCATAGGAGTGGTCAGGGGGGTGTTCAGGCTGGCAGGCAGAAGCAGTTAGGGACAATCAGGAAGGCAGGCATAAGCAGTTAGGGACAATCAGGAAAGCAGTCCTGGATTGTGAGAGGGATGTCCAACTCCCCGTTTAGGCCTGATCCCACTGGTAGGCAGTCGGACAGCCCTCGAGGGGTCCCAGATTGGAGAGGGTGCAGTGCAGGCTGGGCTGAGGGACACCTATCCCCCTGCCCCCATGCATGAATTTCATGCACCGGGCCTCTAGTTTTTTAATAAGTACACCACTAGTTAATACAGTCACTCAGACTTCAAAGTAGTGATCCTGTTAGATCTTATAAATTTGAGATGTCTTCATATTCCTACTGCTGACAGTGACACAAACCCAAGAAGGTGCTGTATTCAAATTCAGTCACAATTGGTTTATTGCATAAGGTGTCACTTGAGAGTATGTCTAAGAAATCAAATTAGTTAAAGAATAGAACTACAAAAGTGTTCATTTTCTTAAAGCACAATGAATACATGTCACATACATGAAATAGTGTCATTTATTTCACAGATTAGGACTGTATTAACACTTTACGTCATTTCCCTTACTTTCCTTGTTATTCAGAAATACCAATATTCTCTTTTGCCCAACCAGAGAGAATAAAAGTACTAATTTACTTGTTCTCACCTTCTTCCTAAAATGACCAAGTTTTTAAAAGCTGCACAATCTCTATTACATGGTAATGTTCCTGTCACAACTACCACTTCTCAAAATCAAGTTGGCAAAATGGAAACATTGTATTCCACTCTGACGGAACTGTATAACCTGAAATCAGCACATATCTCAACCAATATCAGAATTTCATCTTTATGTATTTGCTATTTCTAAATACAAAAATACAAAAATAAAAAATGGGGAGAGCATTGGGTGATGTGTAAGTAATATTTTAAAGCAACATTGCCTTAAGCATGATTTTGAACAATACACATGGCAAATCCCCAACTGTTTTAAGAGAGAGTATCAAATCATCAGAAAAGCGATATTGAAGCCCATAGATTCCTACTAGATCATGTATCAGGAGGCATTCATTACATTTCCAAGTATTTTGGCAAATTCTTATATACATGTAGTATCACACCTCTCATATACATATTCAAAGCAGTAAGGAAACCTATAAATCATTTAAAATAAGTGACTCAGTGTGCAGATCAATTTGTAGCCCCCAAATACTTTAATCTGATACATCTATTCTTTAAGAGAGAACTTTTCCCTTGTTAAACACACAAACACGCACGCGCACAAACGATGGCATGACCTTGTTTACTTTCAGGTAGGAAGGTTGAATAAAGCCATCACCAGAGCCTCTATGGTCTGCAATGATGTTAAAGAACATCAGCCAACAAGACTTGCAGAGAGGGCAAATTCAAGCAGTGACTGAGCTAAAAAAAAAAAAAAAAAAGGCACAGAGGACTCATGTTTCAATATCCCTTCTGGGGGTCCTGTAGTCCCATTCATGGAAATCCAAATAAAACACAATAGGGGGAGGGGAAGGCAAAATGCAACTTCCTGTACATAGGCTCATAAGCATAGCCTATAATTAGCTGCATGCTAATCAGTCAACAAGTTTCCATTAACCTAGTAAATACTAGTTTTCCCACTTGGAACCAGGTTGTGCATATCTGCGTCACACGCAGTCCCATGCTGGACTCTGGGATCCAGAATTATTCATGCACACTGCAGTGGTGTACTTCCTTTGGAAAAGCTTTCTTTTCTTCCTCCCCAACCCTGATGTGAGACATAGTGCCTTGGAAGCCCCGGAATGGGTTGAGCATCACAGAAATGGTAAATTAAAAGCACTTTTCAAACAAACAAGAGCAGGTGAGGGAAATTCTCAATGGCGCTGAAGGAGAGCAGGAGTGTAGGAACAAGGTGTGAAGTCCTGGCTTGTGGCAAACTGTGGAGAAAGGCCCTTTTTATGCAAAGTCAGCCTTCACCCTATGAAAATTTTCCAAATCTACCCATCACTGAAGTCACTGCAACAAGGTTTCAATATTAAGGTTCTAGTTCTGCAGGAGAGGGGCGGGGGAAGAGTTTGTAGAGATCCGTGAAAAGGAAAGATTAATAAATGCAATGAAAAAAAAAAAAAAAAAGTCCAAGATGAGGAAGGTTCAAAGTCAGTCACCAACAGACTGACCTTACTTTTCAATATTCTAAAGCCAGCAGGTTTCTTTAACACTAGAGGGCATGTGTGCAAACACACACACACACACACACACACACACACACACACACACACACACGGAGTAGCAACCTTAAGCAAAGCCAGCCTTCATACAAAGCCAAAGATCTGAGGGCTCCAAGGAAACGCGAAATTTCAAGGAGCAGCCAAACGTCTTGAGCCCTACAAGTACAATCTCCGGGCTGTGTTTCCGCGAGGAGTGACCTCGATCTCTCCCCCAAGAAAACCGCCCAAGGATCCAGGGCTATGGCAGTTTGCAGCAGGCAGTGCGACCCCCTCGCAGTCCGCCCTCGATCCCCCACCCCTACCCCGGGCTCCTTCCTCCTCTAGTAACAGCTTCGCCTCCCGAAGGCTCCCACCTATTCGAGACTAGTTCCCACTAGATCTCTAAGCTTCTGAGTTTGCCCGCTGCCTGGAAAGCCTGGAGATGTAGACTCTTCGCCTAGAAATTCAATGGATCCCAATCCCAGGCACCGAGTAAGGGGAGGGGCGCCCGCAGCGTTCGCTCTCGGAACCCGCAACCTCCGCGTGCTCCGCGGGCAGCAGCGCAGCACCTTGAGCCCCGGGAGGGGAGGCCGTTCCTGGCGCCACACATTCAGCCCAGCCCCTCGACTTCACAGCTCCGTCAAGGGCAGGTTGCTTCCACTCCCCACTCCCCCCATCCCATCCCCTCTAGCGCCCAGCAGGGAGGTCTCTGCACCTGAAGGCGCCCGGAAGGTGGATGAGGGTGCGTTCCCCTGGCCGAGGCGCCTGGGGGTCTGGGAGCTGATGGTCGGGAGGACGAGGCAGGGCAGATGAGAAAGAAAGGCAGACAGAGGCACCGAAAGGCAGAAAACACAGCCACACGGAGAGAGAAGCTGGAGAGGCAGAATAACAGGCACACAGAGAGAGACATCCCAGGAAAGGCAGGGAGATGGATGAAAGGGAAACAAGGAGAGACTCAGAGGGCTGCGGGAGCCAGGGAGAGAAACTGAGTCAGAGACAGTGAGAGAGCATGAAAGGCAGAGGGGCACTCACAGAGACAGGCAGAGGGAGGCAGGGGAAGAGGAAGACTCCCAGATCCAGAGCTTCACGGGCAGCGGGCGGTGCAGAAGCTCCCGCGCCCCGCGGCCCCGGCCCCCGCCGCCGGAGGGAGAAAGTTGCCGGTGGAAAGTCGGAGCCGCCCCTCCGCAGAGTCCCAGCCGGGCGCGGAGGGCGGCCGGCGCCCCCAGCTCCGCGGGGCGCTTGGAAGTTCGGCGCCTCCCGCCTCCCGGTCCACCCTCGGTCCCTGCGGCGGCGGGAGACCGCGATCGGGGAGCTGGGGGCGCCGCCTCGCCCGGCCCGCCCGCGCCCCCTCTGCCCCGGGACCGGCCCGGAGCGCGGGGCGCCGCTCCCGGACACTCGCCGCAGGACTTTGCGGACAGAGCCCACCCCGGCACCCCGGCCGCCCGGAGGGGACTCGCCCCAGACAATCACAGGGAAGAGAGGGGGAGCAAGAGAGCCGGAGACCTGCGATGGGAGCCCGGGAGCCCGCGAAGAGGGAACCAACGGCGGTCCACGCGCGGGAGTCAGCCGCCGACCCGGCCGGGAGGGGCGCCCGCCACCTGCGCCGCGTGCCGGGCGCGCCGAGCCCGCGCTCACCTGGAGCCCAGCCGCTCCCCGTGCCGCCCGGCTTCACGCGTCCCCGCGGGCGGAGCGAGCTGGCTCCGCTCTCGGCCGGCCCCGGAGAGGCGCCCTCATAGCGCGGCGGCGGGCGAGAGGGCTCCGTGAGCGCGGCGAGAGCGGGCGCGGAGGCCGAGGGGCGCGGGGAGCCGAGCGAGGGCTCCCGGCACGCTGTCACCCGGCAGAGCCGCCGCCGCCGCCTGGGCACTTCGCCCGCGCCCCCCTCCCTCCCTCCCGCCCCAGCCCGCTCCTCCGGAGCCCCTCCTCCTCGCGCGGTCCCTCCCCTCCCGCAGACCCAGCCCGCCGGCCTCTCACAGGGCTGGGAGCCTTTACGTAACCAGCACCCCCGGCCCGCCTCCCCCCTCCCGGCCTCCTCCCGCCCCGCGCCCGCTCCTCCCCGGGCTGGGGCGGTGCGCGCCGAGCTCGCTCCTGCTGCTCCGGAGCCGCGGCTTCGGCGACGCGCACAAGTCCCGCGATACTTGGCAAGCACGGCCGCCTGGAGCAGCCCCGGGGTCCGTGCCTCTCCCCCCTCGCCAGCGCCCCGCGACCCCGACAGCCCAGGGGCCCCGCTGTGCAAAAGCCGGCTGGCACCCGCAAAGCCCCTTGCACCAGCCAGAGCCTCCTGCGAGGCTGTGGAGGCGTCCGGGACTGCCCCCTGGGGACGCTTGGGCTACCGCACGCCAGTCCTCCGCTCTGCGGTGGGGAGATGCTGCGGGGAACTTGAGTTTGGGGCGCTCTTTAAGCAGAGAGGACGGAGCGGAGTTTGGCCCCTCATCCCTTACACTTCATCAGCCCTACCAGGTCCTAGGATTCTTGTTGGCGAGAGAGCTGGGAAAGCAAAAACGGTTCCTTGTGCTCTTAATTTTTTATTTTTTTTTTTAGGAAGAGGCAGAGTGGATCTTTGAATTTCTTTTTGCCTGGAGGGTATGGTCTTAATATACTTATGCACCCTGAAGTACCTGTAGGCTTGCATTTCAAAGGGAATGCTAATGGACAGTCATTTCTCAGTAAGGTTGACTAGTAGTGTAGAAAGGCCATGGTTCCAAATGAATCAACATATAAATAAGGGCTTTAGAGCAGTGCCTGGCACAAAGCACACTTACAGCTTAAGATTCCATTAGTATTAGCATCTGAAGACTTGGGACCTATCCCCCTCTGCCACGTGGGAGGGACTCTTCTAGGAAATTGGGGCTGCTGGAGACAAGTCCCTGCCTCATCTTTGATTCTTTGGTGACTTGGTTAGTTTTGGCCTATGGCTTTCTTCATGCTCAGTTTCCCTATGTGTAAGAGGGAGTCCAGTAAGAGTGTTTTCCCCCTCTCACAGTGTCACTTCACCCATCTTAGCTTTCCCTTACTTAGTTTATTTGGCAAAACTGGGGGATCATATGATAACTTCAAAAACATTAAGAGCCACATTGTACAAACATTATTAATTATAATCTAGTTTCAGTGGGGTTATTGATATTCATAAGACAATTTCTAGAGATGTTATCCTTATATTTTCTCATGAATCGATTATCATCTAAATAGGTATGATCGGTATTTAATGTTTCAGCCTACATTGTCCATCCTGCCACCCTGTCCCACTGTCAAGTATGGAGCACCCACTACCAGAGGTGCTTCTCTGAATGTGTGAGGACACGGAGTGCCACCCATAACACAGAGACAGATTTCTCTCTATTGCTCCCTCTGTGAGTTATACAGTTCTGTTCCCCCATCAGGCTACTTACCTCTGCATGGCAAATTGAGAAAAGCTAAGGACCAGCAGGTAAAAGATTTTGGTTCTGATGTTGGCACAGCCATTTAATAGACATAGATACTTTGAAGAATATAATACCACATCCTTACCTTCTTCATCTCAAAAAAGAAAAAAAAATAGCAATATCATTTTGCAATCTTTGTAGTAATATTTAACTAAGGCAAGAATCCATAAATCTAGTTGGCAACAGCTGTGAATGAAATAAGACATTGACATCATCTCAAAGTATCTCCCTGGGAATTATTAGCTTTTACTTTACAACACACTATCCCAAAACTCAGCGGTTTAAAACAATAAAATAAATCTATAATTTCTCAGGACTCCATGGATTGTCTGAATGATTTTCTGCTCTGGCTGGCTCAGTTTGGGGCTGGGCTGGGTGATCTAGGATGGCCTCACTCACTTATCTACTACTTGGCAAGCTAATTGGGAATAAGGCTCAGCTGGTATGGCTCATCTTTGTTCAACCTGGTCCGTCATCCTTCCTACTAACCTTGTTTTCTTGAGTAGTGGTAGTTGCAGGATTCCAAAAAGCAACAATAAAGGGTGAGCTACATTGAGCGTGCTTTTCAAGGTTCATGGACATACATTTGCATTGCCAGGACAGTGCACTGTTCACAGAAAAGTCCCATTAAGCCCGAGCAAATTATGTGGCCAAGCCCAGATTCAAAGGTGGAGTGAAATGCTCCATGTCTTGAAGGGGGAAACTGAAAAAATCAAATTGCACACACAAATGGGAAATACTTGAGACCAATTTTGTAATCTACTGTTGGGGAGCACATGAGACTTGGTTGGAACATCTATAAGGAGGACATTCCAAGAAAAGGGAAGTGTGCTGATGTTGCAAAAAACCAAAGAAAACCAAGGACTCTTCAAAGAAGAGGAGGGACACTGTTTAATACACAGCCTTCCAGATTTGAGTGAAGAAACATGCATGGGGCTTTCCTTTATATCTCCCTGTGATCTTTGTCCCACAAATATGGATTATGCTTCCAGTCCTTTTCTTGGGCCTTGCAAAAAGGCCCCCAGGTGTTGGGGATCTCCAGGCCATATCTGATGGTCTGGCCTGGCGCCAGGGCAGTGCACTGTTCAGAGTAACAGGTTCTGCAAGACCAGTATTTGGGAAGGAGGTAGTGACTTAATTATAGGTTATCAAGAATGTACAGAGTTTGCTGGCATGGGTTCAGATCACTATCCCCCAAATATCAAGGTTACATTGGAATTAGCCCTTTTTAGCCTTCTCACTGAAGGTGACCTGCCCTATTTATCAGAATTCTGATTTGGAGGAGTGCCAAAGACAGAGCCCCTAATTATTCCTTGACCTTTCCAAACAAGTCTATGCTCAAGCAGACACCCCCGGTGTTTGCTGGAATCCTTATGCTTAATCTTTGGGTGACCTTGCTTAAAGGACACTGCAAATACGTGTCCTCCCAAGATTACTTACCCTACTGATTGTATCTATCGATAAAAGATAAATTTTATCTCAAATTTCTGTTACAATAAAAGCCTGGTTCCTTTAGTCAGGCAGTCCCTTAGCAATTCTATGTCAGAATAATCATTCATCCTTCGCTCAGGGTCTGCTGGTCAGCCCCAGCAATCTACCATAGGTTTCTCTTAATTACAAGAAAATTAAAAATTCCCTGCAGTGGAAAAATCAGATAAATATTATCTAAACCAATAGATCAAGGTTAAAATTACCAATAATAGATACAGGTGACTAAAAAATGCACTAAGTAATATACAATAAGATTTATTTAGGATTTCACACCAAAAATATATATATACTAGACTGTAATTATGAGAAAGCAAAAGACATTTAAATTGAAGGAAATGCCACAAAATATCTTCTCTGTACTTTTCAAAAATATCACTCTGATGAAAGTCAAGGAAAGGCTGAATAACTGTTCCAAACCAAAGGAGAGTAAAGAGACATAATTGCTAAATGCAATGTATAATCGAGAATTGGATACTGAGCTGGAAAAAAATAAATATATCTGTAATAATAAAAGTGTAATATGCTAATTAGACTGGCTGACCTTCCAGATGAAGCCATGGTAGCGGGGGCTGAGCCCCTTGCACAAATTTCATGCACCTGGCCTCTAGCATTCAATGACAATATTAGGATAATATGTAAGTTATGAATGAAGTCCATGTGATACCTTCATATAGCTCTTTTATTTATGCTAAATTACAATTAGTTTTATATCACTATTAAATATCCTAATTTTGATAAATTTTGATTACTCTAATGAAATATTTGGGGGGTAAAAAGGGCATAGTGGCTTCAATTTACTCACAATGGTTTAGAAATAACTCCAGAGAGAATGATAAAGGAAATGTGAAAAGTTTTTTTACAGTTGATAAGTTTTGGTGAATGGTGTATGGAAAATTATTATAGTAATTTTGCCACATTTTTTCCTTTGAATCCATATTTTTTAATGAGAGGAGAAGCAATGTTTGCTTATCTCACAAGAAGATTAAATGCAATAATTTATGTGGATAAGTGTTGAAATTAATCAAGATTTATACTGCATTTTTTTCAAATAGAAAGTTAGGAATTTATCTTTAATTAGTGAGAAGTTATTAAACTATTTGTTTAGATAAATGGGATGACCAACATTGCAAGAATAATAAGCTATGAGGCATAGAGCAACTTAAATGGAGAATAGACTAAGATAGGAATATAAGTTTAGCAGTTACAATTGACCTGGTTAATGAAGGCCCCAATTAAAATGGAGAAAAAAAATGGGTAATATATACAGATAGATAGATAGATAGATAGATAGATAGATAGATAGATAGATATAGATAGATTTTGCTGAAATTAGAATATCTATTAGTTCTGGCAAATTATTAGAATTGAGAAGGAAAAGGTGTTATATAATTTTGAGAGGTTTAATATTAGATAAACATTAGAGTAGAGATGCTATTATTAAGATAAACAGCAATAACTATTTTCTAAAATAAAAATCTAATATTTCTAATTATAATAGCTCAGTGGATTCTCATTGCTTTTAGGAAATAGTCTAAAATCCCAAATAAACCTTATGAGAATCTTTATAATCTCGACCTTGCTTACCTTCTTAATACCTACAATGAGCTAAGCATAGAACTGAACACAAATAAAAATAAAGACAGGCCTCATGGAACTTAGAGTCTAGTCCTTCATCCAGTGAATATGTATTGAGTGCTTACATATTCACTGGGAATGTTAGCAAAAAGACAAAGACTGCTTTCCTGAATGCTGCATTTCAGTGTGGTGAGTAGTAAACAAATAAGCACTTATATCAGGAGGGAATAAATTCTCAGAAGAAAATTGAAACCAGCTAAGAGCTGAGCTCTCCAATTAGTGGGCTATAAAATGTTTGCAGATATCCTTTGATATACTGATCACCTCACCCATCAGGAGTAACCAAGTAGAGAAACCTCAGATTGTCAGAGTCCAAAGTCAGATAGTCTGTAGTCATAAA